CTCAGTGAGTGCAGTGCAAATAAAAGTGTGGCACAAACACTTCAAAGATGGTTGGGAATCTGTTGAATGTGATCCACATTCTGGAAGGCCTGCAACAAGCAGAACATCTGAGAATGTTGAACGTGTATGAGCTTAAATCAACAAAGAAGAAGGCGTGGCAAATTCGCAGCTAGATCAAGACCACATTAACTATGTTTTTTGATTGGGAAGAGGTTGTTCATCACAAGTACATCCCTCTAGGCCAAACAGTTAATAGGGAGTACTGCCTCAACATTTCTCATTGGTTGAGAGAGACAATACAACGAAACAGCTGCAGCTATGGGCAACCGGTGATTGGCAGCTTCAGCACAACAACATGCCTTCTCTGGCATCATGTCTCATGTAGGGTTTTTTGTGAAACAACAAATCACCCAGGTGACTCAGCCCCACTACAGCCCAGATTTGGTGCCCTGTGATTTCTGGCTTTTTCCGAAACTAAAATCACCTTTCAAAGGGATGAGACTGAGGAAAATATGAAGGGGCAGGTGATGGCAACTGGGAGAACTGTGTGAGGTGCCTACTTTGAAGGAGACTGAGGCATCATCGTCCTATGTACACTGTTTCTTGTATCTTGTATCTTCTTCAATAAGTGTCTCTATTTTTCACATTTCATGGCTGGACACTTCCTGGACAGACCTTGTATTATAAAGTATATTTTTCTCTCTTTATCTCCTTGTCCTTCTCCTAACTGAATCAAAAGCCCAAAATAAGAAAAACCCCAAATTTCTGAACTTTTAAAATCTTTTTATTTGTAAATAGTTTCAAGCTTAGAGAAAAGCTGCAAGACAAAAAATAGTGCACCGGCGTATTCTTTCCCTGGGCCCTCCTAGTAACATTTCAGCCCCATTACTTTACCATTGGTGTGTGTCTCTCTCCCTACACAAACACACACACACCCACGTCAACTTTTTTCTCACTCAGTTGAGGATGTTGTATACATCATGACCTTTCCCTCCTAAATATTTCAGTGTGTATTTTCTAATAACCGGGATATTGTCTCATGTATCCCTATCACTGTCTCTCATTTTCAGCTTCCCTGGATTTACCATTGGTGTGATACTTTGAACTGATCTACCCATGCACACTCCAGTTTTATCAATGGACCCAGAGTTGTCCCGTAGAGCTCTTTTCCCCGTTCACACTAGATTCGGCATAGAGACACTATCAGAATTAGAGGTCAGGTCTCCTTAGCCCTCTTTAATCTGGAACCTTCCCACAGCCTGTCTTTTACGATGTTGACATGTTTGAAGAATAGAGTCCACTCCCTGCCTTTTTAAGTGCGAAGTTCGTCGTTTTGAGTTTGTTCATTTGTATCATGCCTTCTCAGCCAGAATTCTAAAAAGAGTGACATGTGTCCTTCGCAGGCTGTCACACCTGGAGGCACACAGTGTGCACCTGCCCTTCACTGATCACCTGCGCAAGGCATCATCCAGCTCTCCACGGCATAGTTACTGCTTCTGCACCTCCCCCGCTGCAACTAATAAGCAGCATATGGGAAGGCGCTTTAAGAACATCCAAGTATCTGGCTCTCTCTTCGTTGAAATGTAGCAGCTCTTGATCATCCTTGCTTGGTTTTGTCATCTTACTGTGATGGTTGCAAAGTGATCTCCCAACTCCCTCACTCTCTTCCCATTTACTGGTTGGAACTCAAAGATTCTGCTATAAACACGATCCCTCCCTTCTCTCCATGTATTTACTATTGGTATTATCTCGCAACTTGTTCTCCCCTGTGGTTTCTAGTTTGTTATTGTCCTTAGTTATTTTGGTAGTCAAATTGTTCCAGATTTGGCCACCGATGGCCCCCTTCAAGCTGGCTTCTTTGTTCTTGTGACATGCCTACATATATATTTTTAATACTTCCTTACTTTCTGACATAAAAAGATGTTCCAGGCCCATCTTTTACCTCCCTTGCTTCCTTCCCTTGCCCCTCAGAGATTCTGGGGTTTTGATTTAGATTTGTAGAGAACTCATCTCCCCTATTTATTTACTCGTTGGTCCGGTCCCTCTCGAGCCAAAGCTCATCATCAGTACCATCACCACCACCATGAAAATCCAGGGCTCACCTGACACCTTGTTCTGAAAGGTCAAGGTCTCTGAGTTTTTGCCCTTTGCCAGTGTTACCTTCTTCCTCATCCAGAGTGATTTCGAATGTCATTTTCTCTGTACTCTAGATAGACACCTCTGGGCCAATTTAATTGTATCTGTATTTTCATAGCATTTTTATATATCTTTATTATGATGTTTAAAATTCTTTTAAATGTATTGAGTGAGAGAGGAACATTGATTTATTGATCCACTTATTTATGTAGTCATTGGTTGATTCTTGTACATGCCCTGACTGGGGATTGAACCCACCTTAGTGTATTGGGACGATGTTCTAACCAACTGAGCTATCTGGCCAGAACCTACAGTGCTAATCTTGTATTATTGTGCTTCGGTTATGTTTCCAATTAGACTAAACTCAGTATTGTCAAATACCCTGGGGATGAAGTATTAATTTTTATTTTTGAGGTGATAAACTTGAGATTCAGGGAGGGGAGCCCCAGAGAGAGGCAACAGAGCCCAAGGTGAAGGCCTTCAGCTGCATCCGACCCCTGTCATTTATTAGCTGCAGAACCCCAGGCAAGTCACTCAACCTGTTTGGGCTTCAGTTTCCACAACGGTAACATACGGATGATAATAAATAGACACTGCCGCATGGGGCTGCCATGCAGATTAAAGGAGTTAATATTTGTAAAGCACCTAGAAGTATGCCTGGCGTGGTGTTATATAAATGTTTGTTAAGTAAAACGTCACGTCATCACAACTCAATTCCAAGTCTTGAGATGATAAAGTCCCCAGCCACTGCTCTATCTTAACTTTGTGGAATTTTAAGATTCCCCGAGAAGCAGTGGTAATATTGGAGACAGCGATGAAAGGAAGCTGGTTCTGGGCATAAGACATCGCTGAGGTGGGAGGGAGCAGAAGGTGCCAGCATGTACCGCTGAAGTAAGGCAGGGACCAGGGGAGGAAGCACGGCCCCGCTCTCCTGACTCTGGGTCAGGGCACGTGGGTCCCGACTCAGGCAAGGACCAGGGCTGCGGGCTCTGGGAGCTGGTCCCCAAGGATGTCTTTACCTCTCTCTCCATTTTTTCTTTTTCTTTTTTTCAGGAAGTCCCTTACCTGTCCTTCCTCTCAAGTCAGTTGTGGGTTAGACATTTTGGCCCCTGGGGGGACGTGCCACCAACACTGTCAGTGCACTCACGGTTCTGCCAGATGGGGACACTGTTAATTACTGCTGCATCGAGGACGGCAAAGGTCTTGGCTAAGTTCTCGGATCTGACATGCGTTGCATTGCCATGGGGAGAAAGAATGAAGTTTATGTTTCCAAAGCAAGAATCACTTCTATTTCCACCTAATACTGCTCATAAAATCTACTACCATGGTCATTATAATTAAGGCTGATATGACTGAAGGAGTGCATGGACCTGTGATTGATCTGGTAGATGACAGCTCTTTCCTGCGCGACAAAATTGTGTGAAGATTTTAGCTGTAGGGACCATGGGCAGCGTTTGTCCACGTGTGGACATGTGTGTCTGATGTTGACTGTTAACAACTTTGAGTGTGTGACCTGCCTAGCAGGGGAGGTTCGAGAACAGCCATCCTCTGATGTGAGCGTGACTCACAGGCATCTGCAGGACCTGCTGCAGCTCAGATCTCCAGATCCCATCCCCAAAGTCCATGATTCACTCCGACTTGGGCAGAGCCCGTGAACCTCCATTTTTAGTAAGTTCTCAAGTGGTGGTGATGATACCGCCAGTTCAGGGATTGCAATCTGAGAAACCACATCCGCTCACTGGCCACACCTTACTGCCGCCTCAGTTGAAATGCCATATAATTAGATTTTTTTAAACTCTTTTGTCTTTTTCTTTTTATCCTCACCCTGACATGTTCATTGATTTCAGAAAGAGGGGAAGGGAGGGAGACAGAGAGGGAGAGAAACAGGCATGTGAGAAACATCGATCGCTTGCCTCTTGCACGTGTCGGGACCAGTGACCAAACCGGCGACCCAGGCATGTACCCTGACCGGGAATCGAACCCTTTGGTCCATGGGATGACACTCCAACCAATGAGCCGCACCAGCCAGGGCTAATTAGATTTGTTTTAAACAGGCCGCCTTAAGCAGCCAGATTTCCCAACCTCTTTTACAGACCAAGAGAGCCAACACTTGCTTATTTCTCCTCTACAAGAAGAAAAACACCAGCCAAACCATAGCGATGGAAGTTTTAGAGAAATACCTTAGTTAGTTAACTGTAGAAATAGATGCATGTCTCAGATGTCTTAATAATTAAACATCTTTAAGACTGCTTGGCGCTTGCCAATTTTTATTAGACCATCCATCTAGGTTGGTCTTTCACTGGGGCAGGCTTGAGAGGCGATGACCAGCAGGTGGCGCCCAAAGTCCATTCATGGCGCGACCTGGATGGGTGGAAAGCAAAAGCACCAAGGAAGGTGCCCACTTTAAATCTTCCAAGTAAGGTCCTCTTAACCACTTGTCATGAAATACCTTGAGACACACATCTTGGAAAATCGAAGTGTCAAGCTCAGCATCTTTGCCACATTTCAAACTAGGTAATTACCTTCTCTCCCAAAGGGAATCTGTTTTATGTGTTTGTGTCCTTTCTAGGTTACAGGTTTCCCAAAGGCAATGATCTTGCCTTCCGCTCCTCCTATTCGATGCTGAAGGGAAACGCACGTTTTACAACACCAATTTAATTATTCTGCATCCCTCTGAGCTACACGATGACCTGTTATATAATTGCTAGTAATATAGAAATGTGCCTGCCTTGTACAAACCCTAGCAATAAACCGAAGTTTTTATTTGACCTCCAAGTAAATTGCTTATTTACTTCTCCTTTACAATATAAAAAAAGCCATTTTCCTGACATCCCCCCAATTGTAAGTCATTATCAAATAAACACCACTGTGTTTTAGGCTGTCGTTTTTATTGTCCACAGAGGTTTTCTTTTCTTTTTTTAACTACACACAACGAATACTTTGATATAATCTAAGGTAATAAAATAGTTGAACGACCTTTTTTTTTTTTCAGATTTACATTTGTATAGAAACAATCAGTGGAACTCCTCACCCGGAAACTAAGGTATCTAAGAACTGTGATTCGTCAGTGTCATTTTAAATAATTGTTTGGTTCGAAGGTTGCTGTTCCCATTCTCAACTGAAATGTGTCTCCATGCAGTTTCCCTTGGGTCCAAAGCTTAAGGCCTTGGGAAGGTGGCCAGGAGAAAAAGGATGGTCACTCCCCTCTGTCCTTCCCTTGTGCAGAGGACACTGACTGGAACAGGGCTGTCACAAAAGCCAGGAAGGAGAGAGATCAATTGCGCGTCTCTGGGTTTCAAGGGTCAGAGTCATAGCACATCTTCCCACAGCTCCCTAACTGTACAGGTGACGCTCCTTCATGACAGCGTGATGCTTGTCCCTCCCCAAATGCTCCTTTCCTTGGCTAATCATGTCAGTTGTTATGGGTAGGCTGTTTTGTCCATAAGTCCTCCCTAAAGGCTGGTCATTGGGTCACATTTAGGTGTCACTCTTTGCGTTATGTCACTTCGATGCTGTGTCCCCTAAGAAATGCCTCCTCCCACCCTCAAATCCCCAAAGTGCCTAAGAGTGAAGACCCCCACGGAGACAGTGATTTCAGCGAACCCTCCCCTCAAAGACGCCTACAGCATCCCGTTGATCTTAGTCCACTCGTAGATGTCCTGCTCGCACACGATGTCGGAGTTGATGAGGAGGTATCTGTCGCCCACGCAGAAGTGTTTCTGACAGGCGGCGCACTTGAAACATTCCAGGTGGTACACTTTGTCCTTCACCCGCATCGTCATCTCATAGGCACGGATCCGCTTGTCACAGGAGGCGCAGAGACCGTCTTGGCCAAAAAGCCTGGAGGGGAAAAAAAGCAAGAGAAGCTAAGAAGGCCCGTGGCAGAGGCAGTGGGAGGAAGGGCTTGTGAAACAGGCTGGATCCCCAGATGCCAGGGAGCAAGGAGGAGCTGGGCACAGACAGGCGGCCGACTCCGACAGTCTTCCCTGCAGGGCAGGGGTGCTCTGGGCCGAAACAGCAATCGGTGGCATTTGTGCCTCGCATACCTGTCCCTCGTCTGAGCTCTCCCCACCTGCAGCACATCCTCCACGCCTCTCACCTGCCCCGGGCCCGTCCTCCGAGGGGAAGACTCAGCTGAAGCATCTAAGTGAGGAGGTTAGGCACGGGTCACAGGTCCCCTCCCAGGGGGACTTTCATTTTAGAAGAGAGGCTGGAATCAACCCCCAGGGACCCTTTGAGAGGGAATTGACCAAGAATGTAATGACATGGGCATCTTTCAGAGGCTCCCAAGTTCTACCATGTCGACAGCCACTAGTTCCACCCATGGGGAGGGTGGATCTTGAATTCCTCCCTAAGCTACGCAGGCCACTCCACTGGACAGTCCACTGGGAACCCAGCTTCCGGGAGACACAGGGAGCTGGATGGAAGGCGGATGGTGCAGTTGCTCATGCTCAGAGATCTGGAGGACAAATAACGTCTCTCCACATTGAATGGAAGCTCATGATTCAAGGCCCTCGCGGCCCCATTGCCATGAATCTTTGGAGAAACTTCTCTTCTGACATTGAAATCGAGACTCTGCTAAGTCTTAGTAGATCAGTCACTGAATATTTCAAGCAATAATCATTGTCAGCGTGTGGGAAAAAATTCAGTGGAGCCTTGTTCGGTGGTTCTCAAGAGGGGTCCTGGGAACCTGTTAGCAATGTGCATTCTCAGGTTCCCGTGACCGACACGCTCTTCAGAGGGGGCCCGGCATTCGCTGCGTGCATGAGCACTTCCAGGTGACTCTGGAAGTTTGAGAAGCAGCCTGCAGGAGTCGAATAACACCAGTATTAGAATCAGAAGACCCAGCTTCCGCCCAGGACTCCCCCTGAGTACCCACATGACTCTGGGAAGTCTCTGATTCCTGCGAGCTCGTGAAACGGCATCTCCAGCACTCGGCTGTTGGAAGGGTCCACAGGACTATGCCAAAGCACCAACGGTCAAGGGCTAAGCCGACCTGGTTGTGTTTAAACACATCTCAGGTGTTCCCAACTGTGCCAGTCTTACAGCAGGAGGTCATTTTCACACGTGCCTGATAACAGGGCATATTAGCGTGTCCTCGCCATGTAAACCTTTAGATAAATGTTTGTTCTTATCGGAAGTTCTTACTCACTTAAGAGTAACACAGAATCAATCGACTGGTACATTCTGAGAGGTTTTTTGGGGGGGTGTGAGGGCAGTTGACAAATTTTGAAACATTCGAGCAAAATTAACAGGGTCAAGAAGACGTGGTCTGTGGGTAGAGAGCTCACGGTCAGAGCCAGGGCCACCTCATTTCTCTCTGCATCCCGTCTTCCACCTGAAGAGCTCTAAGCGGTTTCAAGGCACCACCTGGGAGCGAGCTCATTACTGGGGGAGAACACTCCTCCCAAGGTGGCAGATGGTGGAGCGGCAGGGCACTGCCGTCTTGGAGGTCACCGAGTGGGAAGGCGGCTCTGGTTTCCTGACTGTTCAGTAGGTCGAGTTTGGGCCTGGACAAGGACGGACAACCCACAAAGCAGTGTGTGTGAAATGAAGCCAACTGCCTGGGGGTGTGACCCCTAAGGAAGGAGAGCGTTTATTAAAGGGAAGTCGGGGGTAAATTACAATACACATCAGGCAGCTAATGAAGGGAAGGACGGAAGAGCAGTACTTGGGAGATGCATTCGGGTCGGTTAGCATCACCTCTAACAAGCCAGGTGCCCGGGAGCGTGGGACTCCTTCCTTCCGGCTTCTGTGTCTCAAGCAAGGGGATCGGAAGGCCCAGCCTCTCCCTGCGGCCCCTCCTAGCTCAGGTGGTCTGAGATTCTACTCGTAGAAACACAGTAGGGCAGGGGTGTCAGACTCTCTCACCGGGGCCACATCAGCCTTGGGGTTGCCATCAAAGGGCCGAATGTAATTTCAACTCCTTAACAGTTAAGGAGTAAGTTACATTTATGCAGTCCTAAAATTATTTCGGCCCTTTGAAGGCAACCATGAGCCTCATGTGGCCTCTGGTTAAAATAGGTTTGATGCCCCTATTGAACTAGGGCTTGACATCAACCTTGAACATTCGTCTCTAGCACCGAGAACTGGTGCCTTAGGCTGGGTAATCCAGAAGCAGAGCCTGAGGTGGGAAGTTACTGAGGACGTTTTCTCGGGAAACCAGTTAGGTGGCCAGGAGCCTCAGACAGAAGAGGAGGAAGGCAAGCCAAAGTGCATCTCAGGCAGAGGGTGGGGTGAGGGGACTGTTGGGGGGCAGGGCATCAGTGAGCCAGACAGCAAGGGGAGTCTGCAGTGTAAGTTCTGTCTCCAGGTCACCCAGGCAAGGCTGTGACTTTGGTGCTCCTGCAGGGCCGGTCATTGGGGTCATCGATTAAAGTGCTCCAGGGGCTCGGGGGCCAGGGAGGAGGGCGTGGGCATGCTTTTGACTCTAACAGAGGCAGGGGCTGGCTGTTGAACATGAACCCCCTGGGAGGTGGCGGGTGCTCTGCACACAAAAGTTGGTAAGAAGGGGCCAGAGGGGATCTGGGCCCACACTCACGTGAACAGCTACTGCTCGGTTCCCAACAACACAAGACACACAGCACAACAAGCGCGACACAGCAGCACAGGGTTAGGCTCTGCCTGGCATCTCAGGACTCTTTCAGGCGAAATGTCTGAAAAAGGCTGACACTGGTCAGTCGGCTGCTGGCGATCGTCAGAAGTCCCAGTGGGAAAAACTGACCGCCACCACCAGGCCCACTGAGTCACCTGTCTGCCGTGCCCTTTTGGTGGCGCTGCCTCACAAAGGCATGTAAACAAGTCCATGGCTAAGAGGCCATCCCTGAAGAAGAAAGAATTTTTTTCCTCCTCTGTCAAGAGGTGTCTCATCTTAAGCCTTCTCCTACCCATTTTAATAACAATAATATAAACACTGTATTCAAGAAGGTCTGAAAATGCCTGCCCTAACACAGAGTTAATTAACATGTTGCCTAGGAAGGTAGCAGGGAGAAGAATTATTTCATGTCACCAAGACACAAGTTAATTAACATTGGGTTCTCCCAGACTATTCCTTTCTCTCCTTTTTAAAAATGGAAAAGATTAACAAGCGCAGGCAGCACCGGATTTATTCTTGAATGTTATATAAAACCGGGGAGATAGGGAGAAGCCTGGGCTCCTCTGACCTTACTCTGGCTGCACTTCACTTAATAAGATTCAAATGATTTGACAGGGATGTAGTCGGGGGCCCAATGGGAATCACTGGCCCGTCTGCTCGCTGCAGCGACTTGGCAAACGGGTAGAGAGCAAAATCAGGTCTCCATTTATCCCGGTCCTATTTTCTTAAAACTTACAAGAAAATGGACCAAAACGGTAATCATGATCATTGAAAACCCTCCTGATTTTCTCTAAACCACCAAATTTGCGAGGACTTTGTCGGGGAATTTAGGGGCGGGGGGGAAAGCTTATTCCATCAGTCTCTCGGTAAACAGATAAGCTTCCTTCACTGTGAAATTGCCTGCATATATATATATATTTTTTATGTAAAATGCTCTGCAGGCAGGTTGGGGAGGAAGAGCTGGCCTGGCAGCCAAGGGCACTGGAGTCTAAACAAGCTTCTCGGGGCTGGGTGGTCCCAATAACATCTGAGGGCTGCATGCTCCATGGACCCTCTGCCCCAGGAAGAGGGCAAAACACGGACAGCTCCACACTTGAGCAGCTGTGACAGTGGAGGGCACAGAGCTACCTTCACAGCAGCTAACGTGACACCGAAAATGCTAGCACATTGGGGCAAAGGCTCTCACTAAGCGCCATTAAATTCCCATGGCCAATAGTATGTATGACCTGGAGCATCCCAGCTGTCCCGGGGCTTGTCTGCATGGGTGGGGTGCCTAGCTGCCCCTCCCTTCTCCCCCTTCTTGTTCTTTAGACAGGAAATGTCCTGATGATAACGTTAGTTACAAGGGCAGCTGACATCTCTTTGATCTTTGGGCACCACCTCTCCTCCTTGGAAGCAGGTATTACTATGACCCCATTTTACAGGGAAGGAAACTGAGGCTCAGGACAGCTAAGTACCTTGCCCCAGGTCACAGAGCTAGGAAGCAGCGGTGCTGGGGCTCAAGCCGGCAGCTGACTTCAGGGCCTTCCCGTGGCAGGAGCACGCTTTCTATTTTTAAGTTTCTCCTCACATTATACTGGAGTCATACAAAAGAATATTTATAACCCATCCGTATGCTCTGAAGCATTCAATGAGCTCCTAAGAGCCCAACCTCAAATGTTCAAAGTGTCCTGGATTTTGCGTTTATCATTCTGCTGCCTTTAAACAATTAGTGTTTCCCCCATAGAGATGGATGAAAACACGCTTCTCAAACAGAAAGCAACGCCCCCTGCTTCTCTGCACGGGGCAGCCGCTGCAGCCTGACCTCATTCTGGCAGGTAGCGGGAGCCAGGACAGCGACCCAGACTCAGATGGCTGGGCAGCTGGCCCCTGCCGAGGGCCCCGCGCTGGTGGCCCCGAGGGTACCTGAGGTAGTCTCTCCGGCAGAGCTTCCGGCCCAGCTTGTAGTACAGGCGCCGGCCCACCTCGCCCAGCCGGCACCCGCAGAGGTCACAGCTGAGGCAGTCCTCGTGCCAGTACTGGTCGATGGCCTTCAGGAAGTAGCGGTCCCCGATGCTCTGCTGGCAGCCTCCGCATGTCAGCAGGGACGGGGGGATCTGCAGCACCTCATCCACGGGCTCCCTTGGAAGAAGGCCACGCGTTAGGGACAACCAGCGCATTTGGGTGAGACAAGCGCCCAGGGTTGGGAATCCCTCTGGGCCAACGAACAGGGAATGTCACTCAATTGCCTGTCAGGAACATAAAGAAAGGAGAGGACAAGAGATCCACAGGCTGGACCGCAGAGGCCCTGCCAGGCATTAGGACAGGAGAGAGCTCGACCTTATCTCTTATGCAAGCCCTCACCAGTCTGGCTCAGTTGGCTGGGCATCGTCTTGCAAACTGCTGGGTTGTGGGTTTGATTCCTAGTCAGGGCACATACCTAGGTTGTGTGTTCAAATTCAGGTCAGAGTGCGTATTGGAAGCAACTAATCCATGTCTTTCTCTCACATCGATGTTTCTCTCCCGTTCTTTCTCCTTCCCTTCCCCCCTCTCTAAAAATCAATAAGCATGTCCTCAGGTGAGGACTAAAAAAGAAAAAGAAGTAAACGCTGGGCCTGGAGATATGCCAGGCGACCGTAGGTGGTCCTGGCCCCCCTATCTCCCCGCCAGCCCAGTACGGCTCTCACACCTCTGGTCTGTTCTCTTTCTCACCTTCCTTCTCCATCTCCATTTCTATTTCCTCCTCCAGCCCCAGCACCCAAGCACACTGCTGAACCCCAGAAGAGGCACTTGGACTAAAGCAGTTGCTTGCTGCCAGGACAGCCGACTACCTACAGAGCTCAAAATCTGCGAATTCCACGTGGAATCTGCCTGCCATGCTAGCCCAGGCCTCTCCCAACTGCAGAAAAGCAGAGGTGACGAGGAAAGGAGAAAGTGAGCAAAAATTATTTTAGCTTGCTCTCTCTTTCCAAGATAAAAATTCCAGCAGGATATAATAGAAAGTCTCATTATTTTATTTTACGATTTTATATTTTTAACAGAAACTTCTTATCCCATCCTTCTTACCTAACGAATCCCTGGAGAAAAATCACAGGTGTTAGAGCCATTGCCAAACTTACAAAGGACATCAGGTAGACCTTCCTGCACGTGAAATTTTTTACGACAGCTAAGCTGATGTGGATAAGGTGGACTCGGGCCAGAAAATGGGGCGAAGGCAACGATCATTTTCAAGGGAGTGAAAGATGACTCGACCCTGACATCTGTGTCCAGGCCGCTGTGGGTAGTGGGCCCGTGGCATGTGTTCTTCCAATCAGAGAGGCATACAGCTTCCGACCTTGCTTCACTTGAATCTGAATATTTTTGCTTTTACACTTTAAAATAAATACCACTGTTTGCCCAGAGAAAATAAACAGAAGAAATGTTTCTAGGACCAAACGGGACATAGGAAAACCCCAATACTTGTTGATTTTAAACAATGAACAAGTGCTCTTTGAACTTTATTCACACACAAATCTATTTCTTAAATATCTATTGTGTTTTTTTTTTTAATGGACCTGATTCCGACTGTGAAATTCCCAAAAGGGAATCTCCCTCTGGGCACCTCGAGGGTAGAACTCTGTGTCCTATTTCTAGCCTGCGCTCACTGACCAGGGCCTGTGCCCACAGAGCTCAGCACCCATCACACTTCAGGGCTCAGGGGCTCAGTGCTGGCGACTCTGTCTGCCAAGTGCACGCTGCCCTGTGAATAGGTGGGGAGGACTAACGCCAAGCCCACACTTTGCAGATTGAGTATAAGGATCCTTCATGAGCTTATCTCCTTTTAGAACACGGAAATGGGAAACCCAAGCCAGTCTTCTTTGAAACACTCAAGACTTCAGCCTTAAGAGTTCACTGAAGCCTGACTTGCTTTTCTTTGTTTCCACAGGTTAGACATAAGGACTTCCAATTCTCTCTTCTGAAAAAATAACATCCCCAGCATTTCATGTGCATCAACTCAGAATTGCATCTCTTCTCTTTCCACAGCCCCTGGTCTTCCTTGCGGCTTTTAAAAACACTGGGGGAACCTTAACCCTGCTGGATGTCCTGATGTTGATGCTTCCAACCAACTGTGAAAGAGGAGGATTTGCACTTAGCTGGTGCAAAACCGCCTGGAATTAAAATGAACTGCTCTTGTTACTCACGGGGAGGTACTGGGGCCACTGACTACATGGTAGAGAAAACCTCTGTGTTTATGAATTCTGGCTGTCTTTCTGCCTCAACGTTTCATTTGCATATGTCAAGGCAAATTTTTATCTGTAATTTGGAGATGCTGATCATACTGACCCAACTTGGCTTTGAATAAGTACACAATGAAGCATCTGGTAGAACAGTGGCCCCGCATGAGACATACTAAATAAGCAAAACGCTCTTGTGATGGCCTAAGACAGGAAAGGATAGGAGAAGATATTGGCTCTATCTGTCTTTCTATAATTAATGACAATATCACATTATTTTTTTTGGTGGATGTTTCGAGCCAATAACTGAGTGGGATTCACCTTCAAATTAATATTTTATATTGCCCTAGAGCCTAACTGAATATTATATCTGAATACACTTCCTGCTGGATTTCTGGGGTAATTTCTTGAAAATTTCTGAGAGACAGGGGAAAAAATGTGCTGCAGTAATCCTTAACTAGCTGGCCCATCTCCCATTACAGACTCCCTTCCTTGGGCACAGAGTGAAGCCCAGGATAGAGCAGGGGAGCATTCTTCCACAGGTGCCTGCTGTGTGGGCAGGTCAGGGTGTCTCAATTTTCTAATCTCAGTGAAAGAGCGCAAACTTTGAAAAGAGCAAACTTCCTTCAGGGAACTGAAACCTCCAGATTTATTTTCTAATAAAAGGATTAGAGACTAAGTTCTGCTGATCGAAAAGGCATTAAGGCACCAATTTATCCAATTTACTCCTATTACTATGGTCTTTGCCCAGGCTTTGAAAATGCAGAGCAAAGTTGTGATTCTAGGTTTGTTTAAAAAAAAAAAGTGAGCAAATCACCAAAACATCCTTTAAACCTCATTGTGTGTGTGTGTGTGCACGCACTCTTTTTCTCCTGAGAGTGTAAGGAAGCTGTTTTTTGTTAGAACAAACCTAGCTTCTTATAGAACTGGTGCCTGAACCTTCCAGATTGAATAGTGATGTTTATATTCTCACTGGATCCTGGGACTTCCTGTGTTTTATGAGAACATGCTGGGTTTTTATGCTGGTAACTGAGGGTAAAACCCAGGTATATAAACACCACAGAAGGCTGAAATGGGCGGGGGAGGGGAGACTTCAATCAGAAAAGCACGATTCTTTTAAAACAGGAGAGGGAAAGAAAACAAAACAAAACAAATGCCTCTTAAAAGCACAAATGGACAAGTCATTAACCAGCTCCTTTGGTCTGTGTAACAAATCCCTTCAAAGGATTAGATGGGGGACTTCAAAGGAATAAAAATTCTCAAAACCAGACAGCTAATGAATCTTAAGGGCATGTGCGCTGACGGGAACATGGTATTTTAAACAACCCTTTCTCCCCAGGTTAACACTAAGGAATGGGCCGGAGGTACACAGCCCGGAGACAGGGAAACACTCCCAGCTAGTAAGAGGCTCAGAAAACAAATGCGGCAAACACTCGTTAGAGCTCTGGTGCTCTGACCCCCAACCCCTTCGAGGCTGTAATAACAGCAGTGAGACTACGACCCCGGCCCCAAATTCACCTATACACAAAATGTATACTAACTTTCGAGGTTCACAGGCCCCCGTCGGAGGACCCCGAAGGGTGGGGCGTGGTTGGTACACGTATCCAGATAAACTCCGGATTCAGGTGCTTCAAAGTCTCCGGAGGCCAGAGCGAGCTCCGAGGTGGACTCGCACCCCCCGCCCCACCCCGCGCCCTCCGGCCCCTGGCTCTGGGGGCTGCTGCTCCACCTGCGGACCCGGAGGGGGGCTGTCGGGGTCTCGGGGGGCCTCCACTGGAATGTCCCCCTTTCCAGGACCAAATGGACAAAGAGAAAGGGGACCGAGAAGGAGCGAGAGGGGAGCAGGGAACAGAATCAAGCCCTGAACGCTCCCGGGATTGCACCTGCGCGACTCCAAGCTCCCGGTGTGCCCGCCCTGGTGTAAACTTTCTGGCCCGAGGGGGCTTCGGGAAGCGTCCCCGGTAGCCGTGAGGGGCCCGCAGAGGCGCCAGGCGGATCCCCTCTCCCTGCCGCCCGCCGCCCTGCCCCTTTCCCAGTGCCCCCGGAGTCACCGCGGGCAAGGGGGAGCCCTGCTCAAGGCAGAAGGAGCCAAGGGCAAGCTACCGGCGCACACCTGGAGCCGTTTTGCGGGCCACTGGCGCCATCCCACTGCCCCTGGGCACGAGGCCGTGGCCACCGTGGGTGGCAGGGGAGCTACACTTACTCGGACGGGTCCAGGCTCTTCCTCTCGATGGCCGAGGACATTGGGGAGGGAGGTGGCGTGCCAGGCGGCGGGGGCGCTCCCTTTGTGGCTCGGAGCTGGCCGGCTGCTGGGGCTCGGACCCCCTCCGGTGCTCGGGCGCCGCCGCCGCTCCTGCGCCTCTTCTTGCTCTGGCGCGCCGGCGGCGAGCTCGCCCCTCCGCGCTCAAGGACAGTCACCGCGCTCCCTTCAAACGCCAAAGAGAGAGAGCGAATCACCAGACTGCCAGCGCGTCGCGGCCGAGGCGGGACCCGAGCGCGCAGCCTGGCCCCGGGCGGCTGCAGCAGCTGCTGCTGCTCTGGACTTAACCTTCCATCCCGGTCCCGCCGCCGCCGCCGCCCGGTCCGGCTCAGCTCGCGCGCTGTCGCCCGCTCCGCGCCGCCCGCGGGGATGGTGCGCGTCCGCCCGGAGCCCCTGCACCTTCCGCCAGGGTCCGGGCGCGCAGCTAGCCGCCGGGGGCAAGGGTGGGGGCGGCGGCCTGGGGGCGGGGAGGGGACCCTGCCTCTCCCCCCGGCGCCCTCCCCTCTCGGGAAGGTCTATTTTCGCTCAGCTTCCCTCTGTCTCTGGTTTCATTTCCTTTTCCTGATCACGATTCAAATACAATAGAAGGAAATCACATTTAAAGAGACAGCTGCCCGGTACCCCCCCACCCCCGCTATTTTTTTTCTTCCTTTTTTTTAAATGGGGCTCGTGGGGATTTGCAATACAAACAGCAGCGGCGGCGGCAGCAGGACAGACTTGGCTTCTTAAAGGGGCCAGCGACGGGGACAGGAAGAGTCGCTCAGTGAACACGTCTCCTTGGAGAGGCGGCTGGGTTGCCCCTAATCATTCTCAGGGCTTCCCCTCTTCGGCGTTTCCCTTTTGGTTAACTATGGCTGAAAGTAACCAGCGGGACGTTCAAGGAAGAGAGAAAAGACAAGAACGTGGAATGAGCACCTACAGAAATGCAAGCGTGGCTTTGGCGCCCGTCCGGGGTCTGCGGTCCGAGGTCCCTGGTCCGGGAAAGCTGCGCGCGCGGCGCTGCCCGGCGCAGACCGCTCAGCTGGCTGCGGGCTGGTGACCGCGCCCGCGCTCCAGACGGGAGGCTGGAGCTGCGTGAGCAGCACCGCACCGCGGGGTGCGCCTGAGCAGTGCTGGGGCAGCTAATCCCAGGGGGAGGGTGGCTGGGAGGGACCACGCTGGTCTAGTCTCCTTCCAGATGCTGGAGGCCGAATTCCCTCCCTCAGCATCTTTTCAAATACCGGACTCCTGCGGTTAAACTGGCCCCTGTAAAGTGCCAGTAATACTCTGCACAGAGAAAGTGCCTTTCCAATGATCAAGCGCCATGATCAAGAAACGATTTTGCCCTGGGTCAGGGAAAGGGAAAGAAGCCAGACTTGATTTTGGAGTTCAGGTTTCCCCCTCCAACCTCAAGGGAAAATTCTGGGAGGAAAGAGGAGATACAGAGGCGAGAGGCGGAGGCTCACCGTCTGCCCTTCTGTATAAACAAAACTTTGGGTCCCTCGGTCCCTGAAAACGATCGCGTTCAGAAATAATTATTGAAGGCCTACTTGTGCATGACGCCAGTCACAAGCCTTGTAAAGAGGAAACTACCACGTGCTCGCAGACTCCCTTTTTTTTTTTCTTTTTAATGAACAGTCTGCATCATGGCCATAGATGTTTTACTCCCATTTCAAAGATGGCACTGGAGGGCCCCGATGATCTCACCTTGACGAGTTGTGAGTACAGACAGAAGTGAGTCCCTGGATGCCTCATCTTCCCTGTTCCAAGCCAAAGCCTCACCAACTGTTCACAAGTCTACCCAGAATTTACTGCGCTCTGCATGCGCCTGTCATTTTCTAGTGTCCATGTCCAAAGCTTGGGTCCCTAATGGGCATAATTAAAATCTTTTTCGAAGTGGGGGGTGAGATGGGGGGGGAGGAAAGAAGCCTTAAAAGCAGCTTTTTGTCCAAGTCGAGGCCTTAGTATATAAAAAGACCTTCTCCTGATCAGACTCAGGTCCTGAATCTGAGGAGGCGGTATTGGGTCGTGGCTCTGGGGTCGGACTGCCTGCAGTCCACCTGTCGTGCCCCACCCGTGTGAACCCGGGCCCACAGCGGGAATCAACTCTCCCGGCGTCGTCCTCGTCTGCAACACGGGAATGCCAGACCTATGGCATCATTGTGAGGGTTAAATGAGTGGGCGCGGGCAAAGCGCCGCACACGGACTTGTAGTGGGGTGGGGGCGCTAACAGATACGAGATGAACGCATGGGAAGCACTTGGCCTGTGTTAAGGGCTCCTACCTGGGAGCTGCTCTGTTACAGCAAAGACATCAGAATCTAAGAAGAGCTGGAATCCAGCAATCCCACTGGGTATTTACCCAAAGAAAACAAGAACAGCAAATCAAAAAGATACATGCACCCCCATGTTCATTGCAGCCTCATTTACAACAGCTAAGATACGGAAAAAACCTAAGTATCCATCAATAGATGACTGGATAAAGATATATATATATATATATATATATATATATATATATATATATATATATGTATATTAGTCAGCCATGAAATAGGAAGGAAATTCTGCCATTTGTGACAACGTGAGTGGAACTTGAGGGCATTATGCTAAGCGAAATGAGTCAGAGGAAGGCAAATACTGTATGATCTCATATATATGTGGAATCTGAAAAACAAACACACACACAAAAATCTCAGCTAATAGACGTAGAGAACAGACTTCTGGCTGCCACAGGCTGGGCGGTGTTGTGAGCAAAGTGGGAGCAGGGGATCCCAAGGTACCAACTTCCAGTCACAAAATAAACAAGTCCTGAGGATGGAATACGCAGCACAGTCACTACAGGTAACAATACCGTATTGCGTATTTGAAAGTTGCTAAGAGCAGATCTTAAAAGTCCTGGTCATAAGAAAAAAATTGTCACTACGTGTCATGACACAGGCTAACTAGACTCATTGGGATCATTTCACAATATACACATGTTGAGTCATGTAGTAGACCTGAAACTAGTATGGTGTTGTATGTCGATTATACCTCAAAAATAAATACATAAAAGCTTGAAGTTAAATTCGAGGATAAGAATTTCCCGCCCAAATTCACAACAATTTTCTATTTTAAAAAAGCAAACAGAACAGGGTCCCTTTACCTCACCTCCCGATGCTGCTCAACAAGACGGAAGCATTTTCCATTCTCACGCTCACTGTGTTGGTGACGAGGCGACACTGGCATCTGCTGGCTTTCATCGAATCTGATACGTTGCTGCCTTCCTTGCTACTGTTTTGCATGGGGCTCAAGTTAGTTGTTAAAATAAATAGGTCCTGGGGTTCCAGGAGGTAAACCTCTGAAAGGCCAACTTCGGGGCATAAAGTTTCCTTTGAATAATATGCTTCTGTTTTGACCCCAGTGTGTAAGGAAAGAGCAATTACCGCCTGTGACTTTGGGTCAGTTTCTTATCTTTCACAACTCTTTGGGGAGAACTTCCTTAGAGAAAGTGAATATTTGAAATGGTATCTTAAGATTTCAATTTCACACACAGTGGCTGGAAGGAATAACTGCCAACCGGTGGGATTTCATCCCTATCAACGGGCTTTTGAATTGCTCAAGTTTAAGTTTAACGTTTAGAATCAAGTCTCAAAACGTTTTTTATTATGAATAATTTTAGAGCAATTATGACCTTATTGTAGCTTTCCACAGCAGCCTTATACCTCGTGCAGAGGAGGGACTCAGTAACTCCACGTGATTCAAACTTGTAAAATGGTTCTATAGAGTCGGGGAAATCCATGCTTGACGCCTTACCCAGTGAAAATGCAGTTTAATTCCTCCATCCTCTCCCCTTTCTCCTAGCAAATCTTAAATATCTTAAAATTTAGAAATTTTCCAAGTTTTCCTTCCTGATGTGAATGTCAGAAGACTGAATCAGTCTGCATGAGACATCTGACTCCACACGGATTAGCTCTTTCCTATTGTTTTTGCCTGTTACATTTATAATTATTTTCTGTGGACGAGCAGTCAGAAATGACTGGGGCTACATTTCTTTGCTAAAATAGACTCACATTGGGAGTCACACAATGCAACACGCAAATCATGGTTCAGAAATCGGCACTTGAAACCTATATAATCTTATAACCAATGTCACCCCAATAAATTTGATTAAAAAAAAACTTGTTTGTCTGGAATTCAAATGAAAAAATGAAATGGACCTCTAGTAGAAATAAAAATTCAAATGTCACTGGAAAAATGCCAAGAATGACAATTTACTTCTCTTTTATTTTTTCTAACCATTAGAAGCCAAGCTGTACACATGCCTGTTAGTTAGATCTGTACACATTCACGGATCAGAACAAAAATAAAGATTTGTGTTGATATGGCTTCAGTTCCCATGCAAAATTCTGAAACTGCTTCATTGTCACAGGCACCTGGCTCCCAAATTTATTTTAGAACATTTCAGGGCCGGTTGATGAATCTGTTTTCACAGAATGTTCGACTTGTTGGTAACCTTCTACTGATAAATAAACCAGGTTTCCTATACAGTGGAAAAGATTCCCCCAGAAAAAAAATCTTAAAAAAAAATCCACCTTAACCAGACGTCGGTCACTCATTTACTGGCTGTGTGATTTGGGGGAAGTTATTTCACCTCTCTGAACCTCAGTTTCTCTATCTGTTAATGAAATCAATCATAAAGCTCGGCCAGGCCAGGACTAGATGGGGCCCCTGGGACAGGAGCTCTGAGCGGATTCAATAGGACAACAATTTGTGTGAAAATGCTTTGCACAGTGAAGGAGCAGAGTAAATGCCCTGAAATGATAGCTGTTGTTATTACCCCATCTTTCAGAAGCAATCGCCACTGGATCAGGAAGCAGCAATCTCTCAGCTTGTCAGGACATCTGCCCAAGAGTGCTGAGGCTGAGGCGCTTTGGAAAGAGCTGCAGTGAGCCCAAGACGTCCGCCGCCCCGGGCTTGGGGAGCCCACATTTTTCAACCAGAAACGCTGGGTTGTGCAGGCCACAGTGAGGGCACCAAGGGCTTCCTTGCTTCCCCCTGACCACACTGCCAGCTTCAGCCACATCCCTGATTTTATTCATCTGATTCCCCACCCCTTACCCCTTTTCAATAACTTCTAAATCACCTTTTACAACTAAGGCAAGAGTCCATCCAAATCAAATGCTGAATAACTGCCATAAATGTCACAATGCCACAGCGAGGTCTTAGCAGAGTTAAGTTCATAGCACGTTCTAGTTGATTTAAGCTTGTGGTATGCCTCTGAAATGAGGTGTCCCAGCTTGCCCCTCGGATCTCTAAAGTGCCTCTCTAGTGAGCTTCACCCACCCCTGCTCCAAGCACCGCAGCTCTGTACTTATGTACCTTAGGTGTGTTGCTCAGCTCCTCGAGACTTTAGCTTCTGC